GTGGTAAGATAGAATGTCTCCTCCTAGTATCCATAACAGTTTTAAGCATGTTCAGCTCTAGATTGTTCCGGCTGCACCACAAGGCTGGTTGTTTAATCTCCTGTCTAAATGCAGACTCATCACTGTCTCAAATGAGACCAATGACTGTTGTATCATCTGCAAACTTTAGTATTTTAACAGGGGTTCCTTGAAGATGCAGTCATTGGTATATTATAGAGAGAGAAGAGCAATGGAGAGGGGTACTTGTGCTAATTGGCCAGATACTCACTGTGATTTTCCCTAGCTTCACCTGTTGTTTTCTGTCAAAAATTATTTAGTTTCATTTTGTCCTGGCCCTGCTTTTTTTGAAGAGTGGATTTTGGCAGCCATGTATATGCTTAAAATTATGACACGTCATATTATATGATTTTTGAGAAGAAAACGTATTTTTAAAAAAGGTTCAAGGAGAGGAAACCTTCCCCAAATGGTTTCAGCTAAAATTGGCAATCTTAATTTGATAAAATGAAAAACAGGGACTTTTCACGGCTTTTTGAATGCACATCTCTGCCTACTTTACTATTGGGGGGACCAAATTGAGGGTTATCTTCCTTTGGAGTAAATAGGGCTTCGGGAATGATAGATTAAAAACACATTTATTGTGCATACACATAAACAAGAGCATGCAGGCTTGCTCTGGCATCCATATTCCTTGTGGAATACTTTTTATATTGTGAGGGATCTGTTACAAAAGAAGTATTTTCTATAGGACAATGGGAAGAAAAGATATATGTTGTATGAAGGAGTCCTTAAGGACTGCAAGCCTACTGTGCAATAGTTGTCCATTGAAGACCCCCTTTCTTCTCTATGGCTGTGGGGCTCTGGGCCTCCTAGGCTGCTATTGTAATTGCCAGAGAGACTGGAAAGGTCTTGCCCAGGTCTCTTGTCTTTTTTTATTTCTTACCTTTGTGGAGTGTGTCAGTCTTGTGGAAGATCAAATGCACATCTTGCACTCTATTTCTTTCTTCATTACAAACTAAATATTTTTTTTTCTTTTAAGACTTGGCATTAGTGGTGCTGAACTCATGGAAGAGGGAATGGCTTGCTTGTCTAGGTTCAACTGGGCTTAAGTAAGTAGAATCCCCGTCTTATGATGGTCCTTTCCAAGCAGCCTGACTTCACCCCCACCCACCCCAGTTAAGCAAGCCAGATGTTTCACCATCCCAACTGCTTTGGAGCAATGCTGGTTGCTTGAGAGCAGGTGAGACCAGAGCAGCAGGAAGCTGGGAGAAGTAGGAACAACAGTAATCCACCCTAAAAGTGAATCTAGTAGGGACCTGCTTCACCAATTGCTGCCTAGGAAGGAACCACATTATTTTCTGCTTATATACCAAGACTGTCAACCTCTGTGCAAAAGTGCATTTTCAAATCTGGGGGCTACTATTTTGAAATGATTGCATTTTTCTCCTATCACAAGGATGAGCAGGTTGTGTGGAAAGATACTATTAGAGATCTGGGGGGGGGGGGAAGAGGAGAGTAATGTGGCAGATTGTTTCATACATGTCAGTGTAGCCCAGGGGAAGGAGAGACTTTGGGGAAAAAAAACCTTCTGCCTTATTTAACTTATTGTAAAGGAAGCTAGGAGAATCCTGTTATACTGTAGTTTCTAAGAATCTGTATTTATCACTGGTTAGCATAAATTCTTATGGAAATTCACATTGTTTTTGCTTGATGTTACCAGCTATGTGAGGGTCTGATCACGCTTTTATCTTTTTTTCTCCTCTTGGATGACTGAAAACTATCAGAGCATGATTTCGAAAAAAAAAACAACATTAAATTTTAAAGGAAAATGGTTAACCTGCTGTTCTTTTTTGCTGGTTCTCTAGCCAACAATTTTAAAATATTAAATAATAATAAAATAGATGCATACTACATGTCTTGGAGACTGAATCGAGACCTTTCTAAATTTTATTATGAATTTTTGGAGATGTCTTGTTCTTTCATCAAAATGCAGGATGTACCTAGTTCCTTTTTTTCTGTGCAGGAAAGGCCAATAAGAGGAGATTAGATTTTTCCTCATAAAGCCTGCTCATGCAATGCATGTCCATTTTCTGTTTCCAACACAACTTTTTTCCCCTTTGAAAACTCCCCCACACAGAAGAAAAGTACTCATTAAGCTTCTTTATGAGGCATAGAGCAGTGCTATGAGCTTAAATACTGTGAACCACTGATTTCTTCAGGGACTTTTATTTTCATTGCACAATCCCCCCTCTTCATATGTTCATGCCCATCCCAGCACACTAGTCTGCTGGGCATATGTGAGGTGGATGTGGGATTTTGACATGGGTCAGTTTTGAGAAACAGCCTAAAAACCAGCATGAAAAATACAGATAGTTCTTGACTTATAACCATTTGTTTAGTGACTGTTCAAAGTTACAGTGGCACTGAAATAAATGACTTATGACTAGTTTTCATACTTACAATTGTTGCAACATCCCCAGGGTCATGTGATCAAAATTTGGGCACTTGGTAGCTGGCATGTATTAAAGACAGTTGCACTGAACCCAGACTCATAGGAGGACCATTTATAACCTTTCCAGCCAGCTTCTGACATGCAAAGTCAATGGGGGATTTGCTTAACGACCACATGATTCACTTAACAGCTACAGTGATTCACTTAACACCTATGGCAGGTCATAAAATGGAACAAAACTCATTTATCAACTGCCTTGCTTAGCAACTGAAATTTGTAGGTCAGTTGTGGTCATAAGTCGAGAACTGTCTGTAAATACACAAAGTGCTCAGTAATATGAATGATGCAAACTGCTTGGCTGTATCTTTCCAGAAACCTGACACCCTCCCCAGTTGCACTATGAGTCCAATCAAATGCTATAAAAACTCATAAGCAGAAGTTGATGAATGACCATCCTGTTGTTTGCAGGCACCGTAATATCTTTTCATGAAGCTTTCTATGTTAGCTGGTGAAGGTACACATCCTCTGGGTGTCCTGAGGATTATGTTTCTGCTCCAGCTTTGAGGCCTGCATGATATGCATGTTCTAACTCTAAACCTAACCCTTGACTATCATTCATTTCTTTAATGTAACAGAAGAGTCATGTTATGATAGCCAAAAATTCAGAAAGACACTGTTTTAATACTAACACATTTTATTATGCAGCATAAGTTTTATGAGGTGGCTTGAATCCATCCATTAAGCTACTCCATGTATCTAAGGCTTGGCTGGCTAAATCCTGAGCCTTATATTAAAATGCTTGAATATCTTAAAAGCTACTACTGGACTCTGAAATTTGGCATTTCCTCACTGTACCTGAGATAGCTAAATTTGTCAAGTGATCCCTTGAGAATATTTTGGCTTAATCGATTTATTTATTTATAAAATATCTGCTTTTCATTATTACCATACTAACATCAAAGCATAATACAAAATAGCATTAAAAGCCATAACATTATAACATCTTAAAACCAAGACAACAGGAACGAAGAAATGCATAGCAATATAGATTCAATTAAAAGCCTGGTGAACAAATTAAGATTATAGCTGGTTCTGAAAACTTCTAAGGCTTAGTGACAGCTTTAACCATATACTGCAATTTTCTCATGGTATTATATCGGCCATGACTCATGCAAGTTATCCCTTATTATTGTGGTTGAAAGTGGATCACATACGTTCGGTAGTCACTCATGTCATTTGATCATATGAGTCTGTTTTTCTCTCTATCTATATATACAGTATATATATGAAATAAAACAGAGAATGTTGAATGGCCCTAAAAGCAGCTTTGTATTTTAATCATGTGGTGGGATTTGCAGTATTATAAATGCATATCAATGCCCAAGGCAGAAACATCCTGCAGAACTTGAAAGGTATAATATTGGTTGTATCTTGCATGGAGTCATTTTTGCCTTTTGGCAAAAGGTATGTACTATATAAAACCGAGGCAACTTGCAATCTTGCCACTGAGCTTCCACACTTGAGACCCAGAAAGATAAAAACCTAAGAGCCAGTAGCCTTTTTCTGTGGCTATCGTTCAGCATCTCCGAGGGCTCAGCCTTCATCTTCCAAAAGCCATTTAAAATGGGAGAGCTTTCTCATTCTCACCCATATTCAAGCATCTTTCTCACCCCCTTCTTTCTGCGGCCTTCTTTCCCCATTGCCACAGTAGCCCAACATGGTGTGTGTGTGTGTGTGTGTGTGTGTGTGTGTGTGTGTGTGTCATAATCAATTGTGATAGGGGACCTCCTCATCTCCCAAGTACCTTGAAGCTGATGGGCTACTGACAACTGGTTCTCCCCAATTTTCCCCCCAAGCTCTGTTAAATGAGCCTTTAGGTGGTTGGAGAAAGAAGAGTGGCAAACCTTTGGGGGTCTCTCCAGGCAGCTTGGAATGGCCTAAGTAATGGTACCACCACACTGGCCACTTTTCACCCTGTGGCTGTAACCCTCTTAATCTCCATCCTGCAGATAAAGCTTTACCTGCTTTAGGCAGGCTTAGAAAGTCTGTCAGTGCTGTGCCTGGCTTGGCAATGCTTAAGAGAATGACGGGCTAGGCAGTTGATAGTCTCATCTCTGCTACAGGTGAGGCTGTCAGAAATACTTTTTTTGGCAGGCACGCATCGCCTTCTCCTCAGCCTCTCCGGCACTAATGAGAGACGCGGCTCCTCTCCTGCCTGGGGAGGCAAAGCCTCTCATGTTGTAGACACAGCAACGTGCTGCTGCTGGCGGATACGCACGTATGGGCGGCGTGGCGGATCCTTTCTGGGCGCGGAAGTTCTGCCGTTAGCCCGGCAGGCTGTTCGGGGCAGCCCGTCTTTTTTTTTTTTTCTATTGGGGGGGGTACCGAAATGGGAAGCCCGCCTCGGGCTGCGTAACTAAGGGGAAGACTCTCCGCCCCGCCAAAACCAATAGCTCCACTTCCACCCTCACCTCCCGCCGCCTACCCCAAACACCCCCCCTTGCAAACGTGCCGGAACGCAATAAAGCCCACCCACTCACCTCCCGCTGGCAGGCTGGCTGATGGGGTGAGAGGAGAGGCGGAGAAGCAGGCGGAAGCCGAGCAGATAGTAGCCCTCCGAAGAAGGGGGCTGAGGGAAAAGTGCATGTGTTACGGCATGCTGCAGACGCCCCTCGCTCGCTCGTTTGCCTCGCTTCCCTCCTCCCGCCGTCTCTTCGGCTCTCTCTCTCTCGATCTCTCCAGTCTAGCTTGACGCAGGCAGCAGCTCGCGATCGCCCTTTGCGAACCCGCCGTCGGTGAAGCCGGGCGCCTGTGGGGCGCCTCCGAACCAGGATGGTGGGGCTTCTCCTTTCCTTTGCCTAGCTCCGCCGAAGCGAAGCGAAGCGGCGGCAGCGGATTCTTTGCCAAGCCAGGCTGGAGGCGTACGTTGAAGGGCGAACAGGATCTGCTGGCGGAGGTTGCGGCGGCGGCAGCATCAGGTCGCTCGGAGCAGCGATTGGCAAAGTTGGCTTGAAGTGGGACAAGCGGCAGGCGGCGGCGGCGGCGGCTACTCGGTGGGGCGGGGGGCAAAGTTGCGACGAGAGGAGCGGGGGGCGCAGGCAGGAGCCCCAGGGAGGAGGAGGTGGTGGTGGAGGAGGAGGAGGTGGAGGTTGAGAATGGGGACGCTGCGGGATTTACAATATGCCTTGCAAGAAAAGATCGAGGAGCTTCGGCAGCGAGATGCGCTCATTGACGAGCTGGAGCTGGAGCTGGATCAGAAGGACGAGCTGATCCAGAAGCTGCAGAACGAGCTGGACAAGTACCGCTCCGTGATCCGGCCCGCCACTCAACAGGCGCAGCAGCAAGGCTCCAGCACCTTGCAGGGCGAGCAGAGGACCAAGAGGCAGGCCATTTCCGCCGAGCCCACGGCTTTTGACATCCAGGACCTCAGCCATGTCACCCTGCCTTTCTACCCCAAGAGCCCACAGTAAGCCGTTGTGTCCGTGTGGCGTCCCTGTGGTGTGGTCTCGCTCTCTCCCCCTTGTATCTGTCTCTGTCGCCCGTACTCTCCCTCCACTCGCCCGGTGGATCCGCCGCCTGCTTTCCATCGCTTCTCATCTCCAGAAATCGCTTCTCCCTTCCCGCCGCCCCACTTTGGCTCTCTCTCTCTCTCCCCCGCCCCCCCAAAAGCCCTAAACTCTTGGCATCTGGTGGGCTGCCACCTTTCCAAAGCCACATACAGCCTTCAGCATTTCTATGTGCTCTTATCAGGTATCGAGGTACCTCGGTCCCCTTCTGGGGGAGGAAAATTTCCCTAGAGTATGAAAATGCTCTCTCTGTTTCCCTCTTCCCAAATTGTCACAACAGCATCGTCAGACTGGCTCTACCAGCGTGGTATGTGTTTCTGTCTGGGTTTTTTTGTTTTGTTTTTTTTTGGTGGTGGTTTCGGTTATGGCTTCTTGCCCTGAATATAACTGGGAACTGGCAGTTTGGAGGTAGAAATCAAATTTCCTAACCTGAAGATTTGGGGTGTGGGGTGTGTGTGTGTGTGGGGGGGGATTTGGAGGGTTTCCATTCATTCCATCTGGGAGGTATTTATTTATTTAAGGGCAGCCAAGACCCTGGCATCATCTTAAAGACCATCATGTTTCTTTGTTAGAGTAAGAGATAGGTAGGTTTTAAGATGCCTCAAGACTCTTTGCTATCTTTTTGTACAAGAGACGAACTCAACTAACCCTAACATGCTTGTCTGTGAGGCTTGTTTCCTTTGGTGACTGGGCATGGACAGGCAAAATTCTGTAGAGGAATTTCTGTTTTTTTTAAAAAATGACCTTTTAAAAAGTGATCTGACACCTTTCTGGGCTGTTTCTGAGGAGTGCATCCAGGAGACAGGGTGGGAGAGAGCTGCCACCAAACTATGATTAAGTAGGATTAAACAGAAAGCAGATGTAAAAATGACACTATCTTTTTCCCTCAGTCACTTTCTCCTTTCGTTTTTAAATGAGAGTAGAACATAAAAGGCTTGAATACAGCCATTTCCTTTCAGTGCTTTGTTTTTTCCTGCACCTGAAAATACAGAAGTTTCTCCTTCCATTTCAGAGAAGAGTTTAGCTTTGCTTTAATCCCTCTCACCTTTTGAGTGGTTGCTTTTTTCTTCTTCTTTGATTGAAAAAAGGCTTTGAATCACTTTATTCTTCCATCCTAAGCTTTGTCTGCTATTCCTTACTGGTCTCTTGGGGGGGGGGGGCTGTAAAATAGCTGGGAAACAGCAGAAATGCCTAAGATCATGACAACGTTTCTCAAAGAAAAAAGTCAGATCTCTTTTGGCCTCACTCTCCTTCTAATCCTAGCTATGGAGAGAGGCTTGTTGTAATGATTTGATAATGAGAGGAAGACATGCTGCACACACTTTGTATTCCTCTATTACCACATCACGTGTACCACTTTAGCCTTACCAAATCAAATGTGCACCGTGCCTATGCACAGTCTGAGCATCTCTAATGAGAAGATGGGTTTTGTCTATGGTCTTCTGTACCCCAGGAGTAACCTTGGATTTATGCCGCCAATTTTGGCATTCCCTGCTCATAATTTAAGTTGTCCCTCTGGTATAGCATTGCCAGTGCAGGATTTCGTTTTGATTCCTCTCCTTTCACTGTTCTACTGTTTCTTCAAATCTTTGTTGAGCTTTTTAAGTGATGCCTGCCCTGCTTCACAGCTCATCAGGCCCAATTGGTGGAGTGAAGCTGACAGGGTCTTTGAAAAAGGAGGGCAGTCAGGGTGGGGGGAAGTGGCTGGTTGCTCTTTTTGACAACCAAGGCGTGAACATTCTAAATCTCACTGTCTGATGTGACACATCTTTGCCTTAAAATATCGGGAGTAGTATCTTTGCAGTGATAGTCAGATGCTATGCATTTAATTGTCTTGAAAAGATACACACTTACTCAGAGGTGTTTACTCAGAAGATACACATTTACTCAGATTAAATCCCCCAAACTGAATGAGATCTATTTTGAATAAACATCTTTGGAGCTTTCTAAACATTCTTTACAGAACTGTACTAGATCTGTTCTTAAATTATCCTGCACATTAACATATAATAGTTATATAATAACATACTTAATAACATGAGATGCTTCTTATTCATTATTCATTGATTTGGGGAATCTCAGAATTACCAGGAATTTGCTTATTTTGAGAAAAAGTTTGATCTAACATACCAAGTCATGTATTTCAGTGTAATATGTGTGCCTTTATTCATAAAGGTGAACAAATGCCATCTTATGTTCAATACTATCCATCATTATTAGCAAACTGAATTTGCATCTAAACAGTAATAGTTGTGTTTCTACTGATAAAGGATAAAATGTTATCCAGGCAGAAATCTAAACTAGAAGACTAGGAATTATATGTTGGTAAAGTGATCTTGAAACTTTCCTCTGACTTATTCTTGCATTTACGTTGTAATTAATGAGTTTACTTAAATACCCCTGGCTGGTCACCACTGAAATAGAATGGTTGATTAAACTAGACTTAGGAGAGAGTCCAGCAGGAATCTTTACGCTTAAATTGTACAGTTATAACAGTTTCACACTGAACCACAGAAAAGTATGCCAAGCTCACATATGCGGCTCATGCTCTTGGTGTTAAAAATGTTTTTATGCAGGCTTAAGTTTGATTCATAAATCTAAAATTGAGCTCAGTTTTTGGCAATGATAAGGGCATTTGTAAAATGTTGGCACTGACTGCAAGGAAAGTCAATTGTCAGCCCACTCCATCTTTGCTGTATTGCTATTCAGCAAACTACTTGAATAATTTCTTTCGTTGGGTGCAAGTAATGCCAATCTGGGTACTTAGTGGGGCTATCAAACAATTGCTCTGCCACCTGGATAGCTGGCAGAGACATTGTTTTGAATTCACTCAGCACATTGAATGGTTTAGGTTTAGGCTCTGAGTCTGGAGGATATGATGAGGATAAAACCAAGGTAACATTATCAGAGAGGCTGAAAGAAGTATTACATTTCATTTACCAAGATGCAGATTAAATCACTGAATTGTAAAGGTTCACACAGTTAATAAAAACAAAGATTTTTCTCACTTCGATATTATGTTCCACTAAAAGTACAAAAGAACTAACATTCTGTTAGAACAAATGCCCCAATTTACATTCCATTCTGCTGAGATGTGAAGTACTGTGAGATTACAACACTGTACATGCTTCATAATTGTAGCCAGGAATAACCAGGGCAAAAAACTCCAGGGAATGGAGAACAGATTTATTCTCTTTCCCATCTTCTAAATGTCCTTAATATACATATTTTTAATGCATGACTAATGTCACAACTTTCCTTTCCTCAAGTGTTTGATAAAATGTTCTTATAGCTTTCCTGTGTCCTGTTGTGTTTTTGGTTTCTCTTAACTCCTTTTTTCTACAATAGTCATGACATTTAGGTAGATCCTCTGGCATTTGTTCTGAGGACTACAGAAAAAGAGGTCTATTATGCTGGATGGATACATCTCATTTGACCCCAAATTCCTTCTTCTGTGAGATTTTTTTAATTGGTAGTCCTACAACCTGTAGAAGATATCATATTTAGTTAAAAAAAGTTAAAAGGTAAAGGAATCCGGGGGATGTTACTTGGCTAGTCGTTGCTGACTATAGGGAGTGGTGTTAATTTCCATTTTGAGGCCATTGAGCTAGTGTTATCCAATGACATTTCCGTGGTCATGTGGCCAGCATGATATCACAAAGCACTGTTACTTTCCCACTGAAATGGTACCTATTTATCTACTCACATTTGCATGCTTTCAAAATGCGAGGTTGACAGGAGGTGGGGCAAGAACAGAAGCTTGCCCTGTTTCAAACGGGTCTCAAACCTGGACTACTGACTTTCCAGCCAACAAGTCCAGTGTCTTAACCACTGAACCACTGCACTGTCCATCTTATATAGTAGGATGACTTTATTCTGTCTGAAAACTTCTTTTCAGTCTCAAGCCATGATCATTCTCATAACTCATGGCTTGAACGTAGAACATCTTCATGCAAAACTTTGTAGTTTCTGGAAGACCGTGGCTATATTAAATTTGTATTTGGAGAAGGGAAGAAGTTGTAAGCTACATCTTCTATTATATTTGACTCTTCTGTGGCATCATGTCGAATGTATGGATTGCTTTAGCATAGTAATGGATCAAGTCATAAAATATAAGGAAGAGCAAAGCTATTGTAACAATGTATTTAGAAAGTGGGCAGAGAGAGAATGAGAAAGAGAAGTACTTTCCATCAAACTTTTTTGTGGGATAATGTAGGCAGCGTATCATGGTGTATAGCAGATAATGGGGAGATGGTGAATCAGTAGGAACTTTTTATATCAAGGGTAATGTCTAATTAATTTTGGAATTAGAAGAAAATTCAAGTGAGCACCAATATCACACTCAATTTGAGGAGTCTGGAGATAACTCACAAGTCCATTTTTGGGTTTTCCTCAAACATGTGTCTTGGCTTTCTGATCTCTCTCCTCCTTCTGGCTTTAATGCTTCAGAGGAAAGGGAATAGGGAAAAGTAGACATCTGCTTCAAAATCTTTTTCTATTGGTCTGCTGATTTGCATTTTTGAAAAGGACATATTGGAAGGATTGTTGCAATAAATCGTGTTTTGAAGCTTTTAAAATAAATTTTATCAAAAAATATCTGGTTTTGTTTTACACTTGTTGTCTGAAGTGATCTGTGGGGAAAGTTAGGAGACATATGTCATTTTTCACAAGGCGCTAATTTCCTTTTATGACTCTTATAAACTGTCATGAATTTCATATGGTAAAGATGAAAAAGCAAGCATACTTTAAAAAAAAACACAATATACATGAAAACACAAAATCTTTAAGGATGTGAGGGAAACTGAAGATTTCCCCAGTATAATGCCATCAGATACATTGGACCAGAATAACAATAACAATCACACACACTGGCAGATGTAGGTGCCACAATCCAGTTTAT